CAGGGACTTCCCCTCAAGCAACAGTAACTTTGGCTCTGGAAGACGGACAGCATTCAGGATATGCTTCCTACAGCGTCCGTCACCCCCAGCAGACAGACAGGTACCTGGGCCAAGCGTGCTCTATGGTGCGTTGTAGCGTCTCCAGTATTCCCAGTCGGGCTTCTTCCGCAGGGCCATCACAGACTTCCAGGTACCCCAGGATCACTCGCTCCAGTCTCTTCAGGTGCCGCACTATCAGGATGCCAAGTCTGCTGACGCACAGCAACACGCGCTGAGAAGGGAGGTCAACACCGGGGAAGCCCCTGCAGGGCTGCGGGCGCCGCTCTCACCTCTGCACAAAGGCAGGCAGGGCCCTGGCGTACACCCGCCGCAGCGCGAGGCGATGCTCGGCCTCCATGTGGGTCAGAACCAGCTGCAGCACCTCGTCGCAGGGGCCGGTTGGTCTGGCCTGTTTCTGCTGCCGCTGGGCTCTCTCCAGGATCGGCAGCAAGTCCAGCAGGCACAGCAGTACTGCCTGGGTGGGTGAGAGAGGGAAAATCTGGGCGATTCCCCCTGATGTTCTCTCCAAAACACCCGTGACTTCCAACCCCACTGACCACTCACAGCTGCTGCACTTCACCTGACAGACCCGGCTGCTTGTACTGCCCGTTACCAGCCCTCTGCGGCAAGGCTGCCGCCTGGAAGGGGACAGGAGGCAAGAGATCTTCCCTCCACTTTGATATTTTCCTGAAATCTACTGAGTTACTTTGTCTCTTGGCTACAGGCATCGGCTGGTAACAGCCCGGCTGGACTGTCTGTGAGGGAACAGGTTCTGCCTCCTCATGCCTCAAGTTGGCTGTCCCTCGCGGGGCTGACAGGCAATACTGCAAGGCGGATTAAAATGGATTCCTGGTGTCCTACCTGGATGAGAGGGGCCTCTCGTGAATAGAGATGGTTGTAAAGGGCATGGTAGACAACCTGAGCCCTGTTGAACTGGCACAGATCAGCAGCTGGCTGCAACAGCAGAGAACAGAACGTTATTCCCACCTAACTTAATAAAAGGGAACAGCCTTCACAAGCCCAGGTCTTATGGAAACAGCCCTGCACACACTGCAGGTCAGGAACACTGCTCGCAAGAAAGCGGGAGCAGGTGCTGCAACAAACGCGGGTTAACCCTGCCCGGCCCAGGAGCTGCCGCTTCCCTTTGCCTCCCGCCCTGCTCGGTCACAGTTCTGCTGACAACACCTCGCCCTGTTGTCAGGCCGACACGTTCATCAGCTGAGTTTAAAAGGTGGCAAAGGAATTCTTTGCTTAGTGCTAACAGAGGCGAGAACGACACGCACCTGAACGCAGCGGGACAGTGTAGGAGAGGGAGCAGAATGGCTGGGTTAACGGCAGAGCCGGGATCACAAGCCAGGAATCCTAACGGGCGCCCAACCCACCCTTCCTGCAAGCAGCACCCAGAAAGCCATCTCGTTTCTCAAATCCCTTACCACGTTGAGAACGATATGATGCAGGCAGCGCACCCCCAGGATTTTGTTCTCCTCCTGGTAGTCGTCCGAGATGAGCAGCGACGGCGGGAGGACACGCTCCAGGTAACGGCTAAGCCAGGGCCGGGTGACGTGAGGCAGCGTCCAGGAGAACACGAACTTTGTGGCAGGGTTACGCTTCCAAGTGTCCCTGGAAATACAAACATAAGCTCTGGGAACGCTGGAACTCACAAATGCTCATTTCCTACGTATCTGGGCCTCTCAGCTGACAATAAGCTCTGATTGATTCCTCCCACCCCACTCCCTTCCATTACTGAGGTAACTGTAAAGCTCTTGGCCCCATATTTATCGTGGCGTGTCTTGTAACGCCTGAGCTCATGTTGCTTCCTGAAAGTTTCCAGTATGTCCTACACAGGGACCAGCCAAACACACCACACTCTCCACTGCCACCCTCTGCTTCCCACTCACTTGGTCAACTCCTGTTTCAGGAGCCCCATCACGGCTGCAAATCCTCCTTCCTCATCTTCGTTCCTCCCTCGAAGGAATTCAGCCACCGACCCACAGCCTGCGGCCCGAACCAGCACCACCAGCAGCTCCTGTGCCACTGACTGAGACCTCGCGTTTGTCCAGGGCCTCTCCACAGTGTGAGTCGCAGCAAAGACGTAGATGGGTCCCGCCACACGGCGTAGGATTGGATCCACCACAGGGACACCCAGATCCTCCTGGGTCTTGGCAGCTTCCAGCTTGGTGAGGAGGTGCAGGAACACGGAGCCAACCCCTGCCGCTCGCTCGGCCGTGGCGGCGTACGCGCCGGCCTTACTGGGGAGATCCAGCGCCTCTGGCTCCTGCTCTGGGGGGGCTGCGTAGCCCTTCAGCGCACCCACCAGCTCGCCCAGCGCTGCGGGGCTCACGCCCCCGAACAGCCACCGGCA